TTCCTTGACACGTCTGTGTGTGGTGGCTCTTGATGCCTTGACCCCAGCCTCAGTCCATTCCTTGTGAAGTTCACTCAAATTCTTGAATCGATTTTGCTTGACAAGCCTCATAAGGCTGCGGTTCTCTTGGTTGGTTGTGCATCTTTTTCTTCCACACTTTTTCCTTCCACTCAACTTTCTGTTAACATGCTTGGATACAGCACTCTGTGAACAGCCAGCTTCTTTGGCAATGAATGTTTGTGGCTTACCCTCCTTGTGAAGGGTGTCAATGATTTTCTTCTGGACAACTGTCAGATCAGCAGTCTTCCCCATGATTGTGTAGCCTAGTGAACCAAACTGAGATACCATTTTGAAGGCTCAGGAAACCTTTGCAGGTGTTTTGAGTTGATTAGCTGATTGACATGTCACCATATTCTAATTTGTTGAGAATTGGTGGGTTTTTGTTAAATGTGAGCCAAAATCATCACAATTAAAAGAACCAAAGACTTAAACTACTTCAGTCTGGGTGCACTGCATTTATTTAATACACGAGTTTCACAATTTGAGTTGAATTACTGAAATAAATGAACTTTTCCACGTCATTCTAATTTATTGAGATGCATCTATATATATATATATAATGTAGTTTGTAACTTAAAATTAAAGTATATTCATATAATTCACAAATTTTATGATTAATATGTTAAATAAAAATAAATATATAGCAGCACCAATTATCTCGTACGTATTCGGTGATTTCGGAGCAGCCCAAGCTGTTTCTCATCGCGCTGTGTGAAATACAGACTGAACAGTGGCTCAAAACACCCGACCGCTGCATGAGGCTGGATAAAGCAAACCAGTGTCGCGCTAGTAAAGTTTTGATGGACGACAGTTGTAATCAAAGTAAAGTAAAGTACAGTGTTTTGGAGACGTTTGTGAGGATCAGTGGTGTTTATGTACATATGGGCATCAGATGCTTCAAACACGATCACTTGTTCTGTCAGAGGAACTGTTCACTGATGACGTCGAGCCGCCTTCAGATCGCTGAATTTCCCCACATTCAGAATGTTTTCATTTTTCATTTCTATTTTGGTGTGTTTAGTGATTCTGAATGGATCCGTATAGTAGCTATATGCAGTCCTTTGGCATCTCCCAGTGGTCTTGATTGGTATTGCAGATTGACTTGTCCTTAATTGTCACTGTATAATTGAGCCTTAAGTACTTTTAAGTTAAGTTTTAAATAATGTCTGCAGTGCCATTTTTGCAAAGTATGTTTTTAAAAAAGAACACTGAAGGTTTAAATCTGTCTTGAATTTATTTTGTTTAAAAATAATAACATGGAATTGAAAAGTAGTAACACTAGAATACAAAGGATTTTGTGAATAGAAAAGGTTGGGGGGCCTTGGAGTAAAAAAAGGTTGAGAACCACTTCTATATGCAATACTAATACCAGTGCTTATATATGTGCGTATATATCACTCTCTTTCTCTTTAGTTCTCTCTTTCCCTCTCCTGTGAATTTGATCTGTGTGTCCTTCCTTGCCTTCAAGTCATTAAAATGCTAATGCATGCTTTAACTTCTCAATTCTGTGGTGACAGAGTAAGACAGTCAGTAGATGTAACTCTCGCTTTTCCTCTCTCTCGCTTATATTCTTTCTTTTGAAATGTAATCAATTATCAATGTAATGTAATTATTAATTACATTAGTCTCTGTAAAGTGACTAAAGTGTGAGTATAACGGGCATATTTTTAGACTTAGTTATGGAATTGTGAGTTAAGAGCTTTTTATTAAAAGAGGTCTACTTTTTTTAAAGCAGGTTTTCCTATTTGCTATCAACTTTTTTCTATCGATGAATTATGGGCTGTTTTTTGATGTATAAATTCATTAATTTAATTATTTATTTATTTATTATAATTTGTTTATTCTACAATTTAGCATAAATAATTTGTAATTAACTAATTTGTTTGTAATTATATTTCTTTTTATTCATTTATTTATATGCATTTATTTCTGTATATTAAGTATACTACTGTATATTTCATTTGAAATATTTTGTTAAAAAGGTCATGTCATAATTTCATCATTTTATTTTATAATATATAATATTGTAATTTTTTTCTGCAGAAAAATATTTAGTCATAATTTAGTAATACATTTCCATTTTTCACATTTCATCTCTTTGATCCTTTGTCTCTTGTCAGAAGTAGAGCAAGTCATATGCAATATAGGATAATACTGCAGGGTAGCATACCACAGTTTACTCTTATTATTAGTTTGAATAGTATCTATAAGTATTAGTACAAATCCGGCTTCATGTACACAATATTCATCTGTCATTTATTTTTTTGCGCTGAAAGACAAAGTATTTTTACAGTATGTTTTTATAGTGTGCTGAACTTGTTTATTTCGAAACATCAAGGAAACTTTGATGCATCATAATATGACTCCTTTAACACACAATCAGCAAGACACTTTGCAGAGTGTCAAAGCAAGAGAGGACTGAAGAAGAGCAGACATGCACAGAGGGAATACCAGAGTGTGACACAGGAAGGAGTGGAGACAGGGGACGGAAGAAAAGACAGAGGAAATATGCATTAGTAATCAGACCAGAGCAAGTGGGTCACTGAGTTTATTAAGAAAGGGGAGAGAGCGAGAGGAAGACATGTTGAATTCAATAACACGGAGAGCAAAGTGTAATTCAATAACCGCTGTAACACAATTTCTAATGTATCTAGGAAAGAAATGCATGTGTTTGACCATCTGTTCTTGCCAGAAAATGTTTGTAAGATTCATTATTTGTAAGATTCTCAGGGTGTGTTTGTGTGTGAACGTGAATATGTGTATATGTGTGTCAGCAGATTGGCCTTCTGTAGGGGAGCAGTGCATTGATTTCCAGCCCAAAGTCCAATCACATAAATCTAGTCTGGCTTGAGACACCAGGCCTATTAGCCAGACCCTCTGACTGGATTAACGAGACCACATTCTCTCTCACACACACACACACACACACACACAAATATAGGGTTGACCTTGCCTGTGTATTTAATTAAGATCGTCTACATTTTCGCACACAAACAAACACCCACATTTTCGCAGAATGCTAGAGACATGCTATCGGCTCTGAAATGCAATGCAAATATGATAAACGGCACTGAAAATAACAAATAGGGTGTTTATGATGATTAATGTTTAATATGTGTCATGTTTTTCTTTCAGAGACGAGAGAGGACCGAACCAAGAGGCTGTTCAGACATTACACTGTGGGCTCCTATGACAACTTTACCTCATATAGGTAATGTATATATTTGTGCATGCTGAAAAAATAAATGTTGGGCATTTTGGTTATCAATAGTTCAAAGCAAACCTGAGAAAGTTATAGTCTGACTCAGTGGAGTCTGTCATTTGTGGTATTCAGTCTCTACTGCCATCTAGAGGATAGAGGGTGTGAACACACATTACATCATGCTTTTACCATTTATATTTGCTTTTAATTTACACACACACTTAGTTCTCATTTCACATTTTATTGCATGCAACATGTTTCTGTTTGTTTTAGATTAAAAAATAAATGCATAAGAATTTGATTCCATTGAGAACGAAGAACTACATAAAATTTTACATCTGAGTGCAATAAAAAACAATCAGCGCATGCTATATTAAAGGAGAGGTCATGTTTTACATTATGCTCAATGTTACAGTGTAATTGGATATGCAAATCTACTTATGAATCATATCTGCTGTGTTTCAAGGTACAGTCAAATTAGATTGTATGAATGTAGTTAAAGGAGTCATATGATGTTGCTAAAAATAACATTATTTTGTGTATTTGGTGTAATGAAATGTGTTTATGTGGTTTAAGGTTCAAAAAACACATTATTTTCCACATACTGTACATTACTGTTTCTCCTATTTGCCCCGCCTTTCTGAAACGCATCGATTTTTACTAAGCTCATCGGTCTGAAAAGCGAGGTTTGCTCTGATTGGCCAGCTATCCAGTGTGTTGTGATTGGCCGAATTCCTCAAGCGTGGGACGGAAATGTTACGTCCCTGCGGCAACCACATGTGATGACCCCGGGCTGGACTCCGCTTCATCCACGGTGAAAGCCGATCCGGCGATCCACAGCGCAAAGTTGAAGTATTTCCTCAGTGACCAGCACAGATCAGCTCCAGGCATGACGAAGCGATATTGTCGTCTTTTGGAAGGCCAAACAAAGTAGATTCGCCTTCACAACGAAGCACACAACAGCGCCTTCACAACATGGTGGCGGTGGCAACAACAATACTACAGCGAGAATAAAAGTTACGCCTTCTTTCTTTGCGTGAACATTTGGGCAGCGTTATGCAAATCTTCCCACATCGTGATGTAGACATGTGGGGGCGTGTTAGAACGAGCCGTTTTAGGTAGGCGTGGTTAACTCTTAACTTTTATAAAGAATATCTCTTTAGATTTGAGACTTTAGTCTTTGCAACTTTACAGATCTTCTTTATGCACCAAGAGCTTGTAACACTCCAAAGAGAAAGGAAAAATTTTAATCGCATCATATGACCCCTTTAATTCTGTCCCACCAACAAATATGAGCAACAAAATATGATGTTGTATGCTTTAATATAAAAATAATGACAAAATAAATGTATTTTCTATATTTTATACATATTATTAAATGCATTTATTTTATTCAAAATGAATACATTTAGATATCTACTACAGTTTCTCACAGCATTGCACAGCTTCTCATTTAAAGTTTGTATAGTTTTGTACTACAGAAACAGTAAAAAGTTTGTATATTGTATACTTATATTGATGCAAGACTCTCAAAATGATTTGATTTACACCCAAGAAACCAAATGGTGACATTGGTGAAATGTCTTTTCATTATACAAAGTTGCAGGTCAGAGTGAATTTGAATTCTGCAGGTGAATTTTGCAGGTTTTTAATTCTATGCAGCTATATGCTTTATTCAGGCTTGTGCGTATTTAATTTTGGGGATGAAAACAAGGCTATGAGAGATAGACGTACAGTTTAATGGATTGTACTGTTGTTTAACAAACCTACCGATTGTTCAGTGTCTTTCTGAAAACAAAACAAAACTCCATAAAACAGTTTTAAAAGCTATAAGTTGTGAAAATTAAGTGATCTAAGACTTGTACACTATGTGCCATTCTAAAGACTGTAAAGTGTATCCCTCACAGCCTCATTTTCATCCACGGTAAATTCAGTTTGGCCTCCAAACCCACTAAGGTCTTTTGAGGCAAATCATTTACATACTCTTGCATATCTATTCTACCTAGTGTGAACACAACACATAAGCAAGTTTTTGTTACTGCAGTTTTAAATATATTTAACACTATAAAGTGTTTTCGAAATTAAAGACTGCTTGATGTGAGACGGAGGATAAGATGAGATGAGTTTGGGAAAGTAGTAAGAGAGAGAGAGAACGAGAGAGGATTCATTACTGGAGTCTCTCTGTCAAACTGATACTTTTCACTCCATTCATCTTCTCTTGCAAGGATGCTCAACAACAGCAAACAGGTCTAGAACAGCAGCCTAAAGAACTGCACCCAGTCAAATCAATTACCTTCTGAAATGGACTCGAAACATACAAGACAAATGGAGCCTCTCAATATGAGATGTGAATGAATGACTATCACCTTACTGAAATCCTCAGTAAGGGGCCCTGTTTAGAGTAACTGTTGGAAGTTGCCAAGATGGCGATCCATCTCTGAACTCCAAACTGTCATTGTATCAACTTATTATAAATTGTTTTTAAATCATTATTAATAAATTAATTAATGAATCAAATTAAAATGTACATGTTAGCATGTGAGTACACTGTAAAAAATGTCAAGCCGTTTCAACTAATTATTATTTAGTAACAAGTTCCACAGAAATTTTACGTTCAGTCAATTTCTGTCTTCAAAGTGTTGCCTGAATTGTTATTTTTTAGTTGGCTCAACCTTTACTGAAATAGTTTTATAGTCCATTCAACTAAAATTATTTAATTGGTCAAACATTTAGAAAACTACAGCAAATTGTGTCAATTAAAATTTAACCATTCACTCCATGTGTTTCATATGTTACCTCAACTAAGATTTATTATTTGAGCATCATAAGAAATTGCTGTGGAACTAGTTATTATATTTTATATTGAGTTTAAGAAAACGTTTACCTGGTGTCTATCAATCACTAAAACACACACATAGCCTTTATTTAATAACAATCTGCATTTATAACATACAGACTAAACATGCAGGCTTAAAGGGATAGTTCACCCATAAATGAAAATTTGCTGTTAATTGGTTCACCCTCAAGCCATCCAAGATGTAGTTAATTTTTTTTCTTCATTTGAACAGTAAAGGAAATTTTTAGGTGAAAACATTGTCTGTGAAAACATTGCAATTCACAAACTGCACGTCTCTGACTGCCGGCTTTTAAGAGTCAAATAAACATATACGGACCAAATTACCAATAGTTCACCCATAAATGAAAATTTGCTGTTAATTGGTTCACCCTCAAGCCATCCAAGATGTAGTTATTTTTTTCTTCATTTGAACAGTAAAGGAAATTTTTAGGTGAAAACATTGTCTGTGAAAACATTGCAATTCACAAACTGCACGTCTCTGACTGCCGGCTTTTAAGAGTCAAATAAACATATACGGACCAAATTACCAAAGGCTCCTGAGGACACATTGAGGCCTTATGAAGAGAAACAATCAAAAACCGGCAGCCACAGCGTGCAGTGTATCAATCGCCAAGGATCACCGTTTCAGATCAAAATCGTCTTTACTGTTCTACTGAAGAAAAAAAGTCACTGACATCTGGGATGGCCTGAGGGTCAATAAAATAACAGCAAATTTCCATTTTTGGGTGAACTATCCCTTTAAAGTGCTCCAGTTGTCAATCATTACATTTGTAATACAACTGCAATATTTATTTTTAACTTTTTTTACTTAAAAAAGACTAAACAAGTTTACCAAATATTACTTCTGTTCACAATTGCTTTAAAGTGCTCCAGTTGTCAATCATTACATTTGTAATACAACTGCAAAATTTATTTTTAACTTTTTTTACTTAAAAAAAGACTAAACAAGTTTACCAAATATTACTTCTGTTCACAATTACATCTTTAAAATGAATCAGAAGTCAGAAAAAATAAATGAACCAGGTGTTACAGTTCAACTGAACTGAGTCAAGTAAAGTCCAGTCACTGTATTTGCATAGTGCTTTTTACACTACAGATTGTGTCAAAACAGCTTTACAGTATTAAACAGAAAAATCGTGTGTCGAAGGAACCAAAACTCCATTGTTCTTCTCTGGCAAGACGAATCCAGCAGTTTAATTGCAGGCTGCAACACAGGTCAGATTGTGCAGAGGACTGGTCTGGTTCCTGTTGTCTTGTCCCGATGGCTCTCTAGGTGACGAGGTCGTCGGAGGAGATCTGTCTCTGGGGCTCATCTAGTTGTCCTGGTCTCCGCTGACATTCAGAGCTGTCAAGGGCATCTCTAGGTGCTGATCCACCATCTGATCTGGATACAGACTGGATCTGGTGGCTACGGTGACCTCGGAATAAGAATGAGACCGTCTAATATTAGCGTAGATGCCACTGAGAACAATAAAGCACATTTTAATTGTAGTAAACACTCTAAATTTTCCACATATTAGTCCACTTAGTGTTGAAAGGACACACACACTATGTAGTTGCAGTGGAGCAGTCTGGTCACATGGCAGTGTTTGGAGCCTTGGAAGAAGTGACTGGCCAGCATCTGAAAACTTGCAATGATGAGAAAGCACCAATGAAACCTTTGGCCACACCCTGAGGGAGAAATAAAGTGCAATTTATCTCAAGAAATGAAATGATGCCTTTAAAATCATTTAAAATGTAATACCAGTTCATTTAATTTGTGATAAAACAGAAGTGGCAACCATTTTTTTGGCACACAAAAAATCTCAATCCATCGCACAACACAGGGAGCATTGATGTTGACTGTTCATTAGTTGCAAGGATTTGTAACAGAACATGCACATATCATATTAAGTCTACCTTAAACAGCATTAAAATAATATCAAAATATGCCTGCCTGTTGTTGATAAATACCAGTGATGACGTTTTACAAATTGATTGATCAATTATCCCAATGTTTACTAAGCCATGGTCTCTTTACCAGTGCAGGGACTCGTGCACGATCTAGTGATTCACTACCTAGGGAACTGACTGAGACGCAGTCTGCTTTGATAACAGCCTTGTGAAAGGATTCAGTTGTTTATTCTCGTTCGGAATGACGAACTCCTCTCCG